TCTGCTTCACAGGATGAAAGTGTCACACTTTGTTGCTTCTGTGAGTTCCATGTAACAAGGTTCTCATTGAGATAAAATGCCATACCTTATGTACTTCTCCTGTCAATCACATCTCTAGCTAAATCGCTATCTGAATAGCCTATAATACCATATTCTTCACTACTTCTTACATATTCCAGACCATACATAGTTGTTTCTTTTATGTATCTTAGAATATGTTTCAGAGCTTGTAGGTGTTGTGAAGTTGGTCTTTCCAGAAACCGACTCACCATTCCAACTGAAAAAGCGATGTATGGTCGTGTATGTGTCAAATATCTCAATCCACTAACTATACTTCTATAAAAAGTTGTATCAACAGGTTCTCCTTGTTCATCTTTACTTAGCTCCAATCTTTGCTCCATTGGGTATTTGCACGGATTACAATCAATCATACCTGATTTTTCAAGTATGGATTTCGCATAAGCTGTTTGTTTTAAAGTTATTCCCTCCTTTTGTTGACTTACCTCAATCCCAAGGTAATACGATAACAACCCAAGGTCACTCATGTCAAACTTGTTGCTCATTTGTTGTTTGAACAACTTTACGTCATCAATACGATTTCCAGTGACAATTAAGTCATCCACATAAATTCCAATTATAAGTAGATTTCCATTTTTCTTTCTTGTGTAGACGGCATACTCTTGTGGACATCTTAAAAAACCCAAGTCTGAGACATTTGTCTAGCCGTAAGTTCCAAGCTCTAGGAGCTTGTCACAATCCATACAACGCCTTTGATAATTTGTACACTAATTTTGGCTTGTCTTTATTTATAAAACCCTCTGGCTGAGTTACATACACCTCTTCTTCTAATTCTCCATTAAGAAAGGCTAATTTCACATCAAGGTGATGTACAATCCAATCATTCTTGGCTGCCAAAGCAAGTAAAATACGTACAGTTTCCATTCTAGCCACCGGTGCTAAAATTTCATCGAAAACAACCCCATGTTTTTGTACATAGCCTTTTGCGACTAACCTCGCCTTGTGCTTCAAGATATTTCCATTTGGATCTCTTTTTATCTTGAAGACCCACTTGAGACCAATGGGTTTTCTTCCTTTTGGCAACTCTACTAGCTTCCAGGTTTTATTTTTCTCGATTGCTCTTAGCTCACTCTTCATTGCATCTTCCCATTCATCAATTCCTTTTTCCATAGAGTAAGACGAAGGTTCCTCGTCATCATGTAAGAACAAAAGTTCACTACAATCTTCATATATTTCAGCCAATGTGTGAAACTTGGTTGGAGCATTGCTTGTAGACATAGTTGAGCTAGTTGCACTTTCATGGGAAGATTCAGGACTTGATGGAATACTATGATGACTTGATGGAATATTATGAGGACTTTCAGGTACATTATTATCCGGATTAGTATTGTCTTCATTTGAGTTTTCATCATATTGCTCGCTATCTCCACAGGTGTATTCATCAAGATATAATATATCAAAGGTGAAGATTTCATTTGATGTTTGTTTGAATTTTATTTCTTGCCCCCATTCCCATGTTTTATTTTCTTCAAAAATCACATCTCTACTTACTCGAATGGATCCCGTATCAGGATCAAGCAATTTATAACCTTTCGTGCCTTTTTCTACCCCCAAGTGTACTAGCTTTTTGCTATGTGCTTCTAATTTACTCAAATGCCTTCCGGTTACCCGCATGTGTGCAATGCAGCCAAAAGCTCTTATATGATCGATCCGTGGTTTTCTTCCCGTCCATGCTTCATATGGTGTACCATCTTTGAGAGCTTTACTGGTTACTCGATTAAGAATGTAAATTGCATGAGTTACTGCTTTGCCCCATAACACATTAGGTACTTTCATGCTCTTTAAACTACTTCTTGCCATCTCTACAATGGTGCGATTGCGTCGTTCCACAACTCCATTATGTTGTGGGGAGTATGGTGTTGTATAGTGCATGTTTACGCCATTTTCTTTGCAAAAAGAGTTGAATTGATTTGAAAGAAACTCACCCCTCGATCCGTACGAAGTGTTAAAATCTTCTCACCGGTTTCCACTTCGACTTTCGCTTTGAAATTTTTAAAAACTTGCAAGGCTTCATCTTTATTTTTCATCAAATATGCCCACATAACTCTTGTATAGTCATCAACTAGCAACATGAAGTACCTATTCCCTGCTGGTGTGGGTGGAGAGATGGGACCACAAAGATCCACATGCACGAGTTCGAGTCTTCTTTTAGCTCTAAAGGTTGTTTGTGTGGGGTATGGTTTTCGTGTTTGTTTTCCAGCCAAACATCCTTCACACAGGCTGTTGGGGTTATCTATCTTGGGTAATCCTTCCACAATATTTGCATTAGACATATGTTTAAGGGCTGAAAAACTTACATGGCCTAAGCGATTATGCCATAACCATGTTGGTTCTATCGTTTCGCTAAGTAGGCATATGGTTTCTTCTTCTTCAAGCGTGATTTTGTAGAGGCGATTTTTAGATTGCATGACTTTCATCAATAATCTTCCGTTTGCATCGTGAACCCACAGGTAAGTACCATGCATAACGATTCTATCACCGTTTTGAGCCAATTGCCCCAAACTAATAATATTGTTGCAAAGTCTTGGTATAAAATATACTTCCTTGAGTTCTCGATGTTCTCCATTCTTGCATTTAAAAATGATGGAACCCCTTCCTTCTATTCAAACTCTAGACCCATCCCCAAATTTGACAAAGCCTTTAGTTGAGGTATCAAGTTTTCGAAATTTACCTCTTTCACCCGTCATGTGGTTGCTGGCTCCATTGTCAAGGCACCATACTTTTGATTGGCTTGATACTTCTTCCTTTTTTCTTAGGGTTGGGTTTACTTTTTCTTCATTTAGCATGACTTCATCTTTAACATGTTCATTGTACACGGCTGCAAGTAATAGGGCTGGTTCGGCATCATTGAAATCTTGGGTTAGATTAGCTTCTTAAATCCTTTCTCTTCGTGGGTTTTTGCATTCGGAAGCATAATGTCCGTATTCTTGGCAATTATAGCATTGTATCTTGCTTTTGTCATAGTTTTGAGTTTGGTTTTGCCCATGACTTCCTCTATTCTGGTGATTACCACCTCTTCCACGACCTGAGTTGTTCCAATTACCTCTTCCACAACCAGAATTGTTCCAATTACCTTTTCCACGATCTGAATTGTTTCAATTACCTTTTCCACGGCCTCTTCCTCGTCCCCCACGGTTGCTTGAATTACCATGTTGCTTGTTCTTTGATTCTTGTTCGTTCGATTGCTTCTTGTTTCTTTCTGACCATTCTTCATGGGTTAAGAGTAGTTTCTTCTCGTCTACTTCTTGATGTACTTGAGTACGCACTTCGTGTGCTTTGAGTCTTCCAATGACTTCTTCAACTGTCATCGTATCAAGATCAGCGAATTGTTCAATTGTTGATGCAATTTGAACAAATTTGGAGGGTACGACTCGTAGAATCTTCTTGACCACGTACACTTCGTCCATGCTATCACCTAACTCCCGGATGTTGCTGATTTTTGCTGAAAAATCATCAACCGTCTCGGATTCTTTCATACTAAGAATCTCGAATTCAGCCTTTAGTGACTGAACTTTTGTTGTTCGAACTCGATCTACACCCATATACATAGTCTTGAGTGTTTCCCACACCTCTTTTGCCGTTTGCTTCTTCGCTATCGACAAAATGATTTCTTCCGGGATGGCTTGGTAAATCGCTGCCATAGCCGTCTTATCCTTCTTGACACCAACTGCATTCTCGGGTTTCTTCGGTTCAATCGCATCCCAAACCTCCATTGCTTGCATGAACACCTTCATCTTAATTGCTCATGCAGCATAGTTGGTTCTAGTCAAGATTGGATAATGCATCTTCGGATCTCTTATGTGTTCTTCTGTGCTCTGATACCAAGTGTAAGGTATCTACCAGATACCTTGCTGCAACCTTGTTGCCTAAGAACAGAAAACAAAACAGAACAGGAAGGAAAGAAAGAAAAAAAACTGCACAGCAAGGAACAGGGGCGATAACAGGGGAATAAAAAAAACGGGATTTTTGTTTTGCCCGGTGGAAAAGGAAACTTTATTGCTGAAAAAAAACTTCATCCTAAACACCTATAAACGTAGCATATTTATACTAAAAGAAAGAGTTTGAGTCATACTCTAAAACCAGTAAACAAAAAAATAATAAAAGCAATTTTCCTAAAATGCCCCTGTGGGCTTTTTCCTGAATTACGCCAACAGATATCGCATTACTTCTGTATATTTTTACCACTTAAAGTTTCCTACTCATAGATAATAAACATGCATCCGCGGTGGTTTAGGAGAGGCGAGGCATGGCTAACTTATGAAGAAGATAGCGTACCTTAACTGTGGATACTTGGAATGATGGAATCGAGTGCCACTGCAGAAGCAGAAAACGCCGCTATGAAAAGCTTCAGATTACTACGAAAAGAAACGATGAGTTCAGCGGGAATTTTGTTTATATGGATTATCTAACGTTTGGTAGGGGCAATTTTGTCATACGCAAAAAGGGAGAGGCTAATTCATGAAGGGATATATATATATATATATTTACCATAATTCATGAATGGACATCTAAGTAAATACGCTTGGGTCAAGACGAGATGTAAGAGAATCGTTTTTACTTTTTCGTAGGTTGATAACCCAAGGGCAATAAAATCATCTTGCTTGTGATTGATTGCGCTGAAACCATAACATAACAAATTACCAAAGTTTACATGACTTAAAAAATCTTATATCCCTAATAATAAAAATAGTTGTTCCTTTTAAACTTGTTGAATTTTGGAAGAATTCACTTATCCTGTGGAAATATTAAAAAAAAAACCATCAACATTGATCAAAATCCATTGCAAAATTAGCAACAGAATTAATTTACAAAAGATTGCCATCAATATATGACTAAGCTGGATTTATCTAGTACATTGCCTTAGAATCATAGAAAAAGATAGAACATATACCGGTATTTAATAGTTTTAGATATTTCAGCGTTCATAAACCGTGAGAAAACTCTTGCTGACAACCAAATAAATTATTTAGTGAAGCTTTTACTGCACGGTTTAACTTCTTCTCTGTGCAAATATTGTAAAGCTCTGCTTTCTTGTCCTCCAACTCACACTCTTCAGCATCAGGGTTCAAATCAAGCCACTCAATTGTTTCATCGATCTGGTCCTCTAGGTCTTCCAAGTCTTTTACACTAAGCCACATCTTTCTAAGGCTTAATCTTACCTTATAATCCTTTATTTTTGTTCTTAACTTCGAAACACAGTGATCTAGAGCTCTATGAGCCATTGCCTTCTTCAAGTGTGCTTCATCCTCAAACTTATATCGTTCAGCATCTTCAATCATCTTTTCAATCTCCGCTTTGGACAAACTACCATTGTCAGTTATCTTGATTGTGTTGTTTGCGCCCGTGGTTATTTCTCTGGCAGAGACATTCAAGATCCCATCAGCATCTATCTCGTAGCATACATTCATCTCAACTTCCCCCCTTGGAGCAGCAGGAATCCCAGATAGTTTAAGTTTTCCCAAACAATAGTTCTGGGAAGCTATCTCTCTCTCACCCTGATAAACACGAAAACTCACAGAAGTTTGATTGTCATAAACCGTACAGAATGTATCTTCCTTCTTGGTTGGAATAGGTGAATTTCTAGGAATCAAAACTGCCATAATATCCCCCCAACAAGCCACGCCAAGTGACAAAGGTGTAACATCAATTAGCTCCAATCCTTGCACAGCTCCATCACCGATGTCACTTAAGTGTGCAGCTAGAAATCCAGCACCATGGGCAACAGCCTCATCAGGATTGATCTTCTGCGAAAGTAGCTTTCCATTAAAGAACTTTTGCAACAACTGTTGTACCTTGGGGATCCTGGTCGATCCACCAACAAGAACCACTTCATCAATGCTATCCTTGTTCATATTCGCATCCTTCAAACACATTTCCACAGGTTCCATGCACTTCCTGAACAAGTCCATATTAACCTCCTCAAACTTTGCCCGAGTAAACTTTGCAGAAAAATCAATACCATTAGCCAAGCAATCAATGTCAATCATAGTCTGAATAGATGATGACACTATCCTCTTTGCCCTTTCACATTGAACCCTCAACCTACATAAAGCCCTTTGGTTGCTCCTAATGTCCTCTTTGTGCTTTCTCTTAAATTCTTGGACAAAATGATCTACCATTCTGTTATCAAAGTCCCCACCCCCCAAATGTGTGTCACCACCCGTAGCTTTAACCATGATTTGTCCACCTCCATCAATGGTAAGAAGAGAAACATCAAAAGTGCCCCCACCAAGGTCAAAAACCAATACATTCATTTTACCATCCACGCAAGCTCTCTTGTCAAGAGAGTAGGCAATTGCAGCCGCAGTTGGCTCATTAATCATGCGCAAAACTTCAAGTCCAGCAACTTTTGCAGCATCCTTTGTTGATTGTCGTTGAGAATCATTGAAATGAGCTGGAACAGTGATAACTGCCTTCTCAACAGCGGACCCAAGAAATGTCTCAGCAACAGTTTTCATCTTCACTAAAACCATGGAAGAAATTTCTTCAGCGGAAAATTCCTTCTCTTCACCCTTATATGTAACTACGATTTTTGGTTTGTCGCCACTCCCAGCAACAACTTTGAAAGGCCACAACTTCATGTCTTTCTGAACAATTCATCACTTGCTCTTCTTCCAATCAACCGTTTAACATCTGTTGTAGGTAAGCCAGCAAAATCATGCCTCCTTTAGAGCTAAATATATAAATGACAAAAGCTAATTTGTAAAGTTTTTTTTTTTAAATAAATAAATAGTAACTGACCGAAGATGGTGTTGGTTGGGTTATATGCAGCCTGGTTCTTGGCAGCATCACCAACCAAACGTTCAGTGTCGTTGAAGGCAACAAAAGAGGGAGTTGTCCGATTTCCTTGATCGTTTGCTATGATCTCAACGCGGTTGTGCTGCCAAACAGCCACACAAGAGTATGTTGTTCCGAGATCTATACCAATGGCTGGAACTTTACCTCTTCCTGACATTTTCTTTTAGGAAGATATACGAATTCTAGCTTGTCTAGATTAGGTTTATGCAAAAATATTGTGTAACTCATCAGAATTTATATTCAAATTTTCATGTGGATGTACCAATGAAAAGTCGCAAGTCTTGGTATCTGGCAACTGTCTCTTTTGTTGACGTATCGACTTTCAATTTAATTGGGAAATGTAAAATGACCTTTAGAATTCTGCTTTCAAACTATCTCTCTGGGCTGCCACATTAATCACAAACTATCACTTCCAAGTTTCAAGCAAACTAACGCAAAGCAAGCATAATTCATAAAAGTAGTTACCATGAAAGTAGTATTAAAAAATGCGGTGACAAAAATAATTATCTTGACAACTGATTATAGTACTTCCTTTTATATAGATGTTCGTCTATATTTAATGTCAGAAAACTTTCAACAAGGTCCAAAATCCACAAAAAAAGATGAGGGATATTGGAAAGTAAAATTATATAATTATGAGAGAAATATGCTCAAAACAAAACTTCAAAATCATATATACCCTCGTCAATAGTTGTTTCTATCATATGTAAGTCATAAAATCAACAATTGTGCATTCTTGATCCGTACATTTTGCAACGGTAAGTCATAAAATCAATAATTATGAGAGAAACACACTGTTTTAAATTTTCCATACGTACACTTTAATGTTCATGTGTGTACAAGTTTTGGAAGCAAGTATGAAAATAAAACTTGGATTAAGTTGTAAATAAAAATCAAAAATTAAAATAGTTGGATTGCGTCTATGAAAAAAAAAATAATAATAGAATACGGAATTGATTTAGGCCATCTATGTTGTAGAATAGAGATGGTTTCAACACATCCTTTATAGCTTCAAGCCTTCAACGCCAGTTCATTCTAATGTCCAAAGTCCAAACTCGTTTTGGCCCAAAACTACCTTTCTAAAATGCTTAATACCTTAGAAAGCTGACTTGACAAAATGTTAGGAGTGTTACTACTCCCCTTAGCCTAATAATACCGAAACTCAAAATATGAAAAACTAACATCATAATCAACTATAGAACCAATGACTTTATCTTATTCACTCATTAACAAATCAAACTGAATAAAAAATAAATGCCATTGAAAACCCAAAGAAGCTACAAACAACGAAAGAACCACAAGCCCATTCTGCCTATCAAAAATCCAACTAAGGCTTCATGGCCTTACTATTAAACCAAGTCTCAGCAACACATTTCAAAAAACATGAACCTTGGATCAAAACCCATAACAAAATTATCCAATAAAATGAAGATTACCCAAATAATGTTTTCAATATCTCCTTGCAAAACCACCACCACCCCCACCCCTACCAAAAGCAGGAACAGATGGCAAAGCCTGTGGCTCAACAGACGCCTTAACAACACCAGGAAGATCACCCATGCCAAGAGCATTAAGCATTTCAATGGTCTCCTTATCAACCTCAATCAGATCAGTCTTGATGGCTGATTCATCAGGAACAAAGTCCATACGTCGCTCTCTTTCTTCCTCCTGCAGCTTCAATGAGATTCCCCTCACTGGTCCTTTCTGGATACGCTTCATCAAGTGAGTAGAGAATCCTGCAATCTTGTTCCTAAGTCGCTTTGATGGAATGATGGCAACTTCTTCCAGAATCTTCTTGTTTGTGTGGAAGTCCAGAGTCATTTTACCATAATACCTCTCAATTACTACCCTGGAGGATTTTTTAACAGTCTTGGTCCGCACACGCCCCATTCTTTTAACTTGTTCTAGTGGTTTATCCCAAACTAAAATTGATCAAGTTAACAAACATCATTAGAAGGGCTGTTAACTGTCACATATGTACAAGATTATTTATATCAAATATCAATAGCGAGGTATCCAGTTCCATGACAACAATCTCTAGTTCACATTAAGCTTTTATCTTGAATAACAAAAACTAGATAATTTAAAACTGTATCCTTCTTAGATTATATAAATGATTTTTGATTCAAAACCAACATTTCCTTCAATGATCCCAAATGCACAAAAAAGACACGTTTTGCACCTATCTCAAAGATCCCAATACTGTAACGTGCTGTCTATGAAATTTAAACGATTTAAAGATGTAACCACAAAATCTAACATAGCCTAAGAATAGAAGCGGTAAAATACCCTTATATATTCAGCCTGTATTCTGCGCAACGTTTAAAACGAAAGCATCATACATTCATTGATTCAAACAAGGAATCAACCATATGATAAGATAATAAATGACATTGTATAGTAAACGATGTTAGATTAGATGCATTTGTCACAAAAACTCCAAACTGAAATTTAGAAAATCGTTTCAAAAATCATAGTGTACATAACCAATTGTCCTTCTAGCATGCTCACAAGTTTTGGAGGAAGTTTAGAAATTGAAGTATACTAAAGAGTAAGTAAGATTCACGGCGTAGGATGACGGAGAATTGCATACCGTAGTGGTTGTTCCGGTTAAGATCGGCGGCGCGCAACCCTCTTCCTCTCGCCCTCTGTAAAATATTTGCCGTCGAAAGAAACCCTAAACTAGACTTTAATACTTATGAGGATGGGCAAATATGTCTTTTCCTGAATCTTTGAAATTTGATACCCTCACGATTCACCCCTATAGACTTACATTCTTTTTACTTTTACCTTTAACTTTTTACTATTTAAATATTATTGGCTTAACTCTTTATTATCCCGTTTTGGCATGCAAGTTAAGGTAAAATCGAGTGTACGATTATTAATTTCATTATATTTGTAATTTTTTTGGGGACGATTGAATAATCATTATATTTGTATTATTTTACAAAACAACTACAAAGATATTTAAATCGACTTTGATGACAACCTTTGATATGATTTTGTATTTCAGTGGCCATAACAATTATTTTATGAAAAGACTATTAGTTGTTGGTTTAAAAATCCATTCACTCAATATAAAATATAAACTCAAACAACTACTTGGGGACCTTGATGTATATAGGATCCAATCATAACTTAAAAAATTTCCAAATTGTTTCTCATAAGATGTGATCATTTTTTGTTGTTACACAGGTCATTGTCAATGTTTCTTTTCTTTTGTTTTCAGATGATAGCAAATGGGCATGTGGAGTGCATATATATACCCAATGGGCAGTGTATTACACTTTGGTGACATAATAAAACACTTATGATATAATATATCAATGAAAATCCTTTGGATGAATAAGAAATAACTTCAAAATACCCATTAAAACAAAAAGACAAAGAGTGTTTTATTTATGATTGTAAACCCTTTTGAATCTTGGGGGACATAGAAAACAACACCTCTTACTAACCAAACAAAAACCTAAAAAAGTAATATAAATGATTGTTGAGTCAGCAATAGATCATCACAATAAATTGAACACAAAAGGAGTAGGCTTTCGATGAGCCATCTTACCCGTTTTGGACACCACTTGATCTTATATTGTTGATTGGACGTTGTTAAGAAGCACTCATTCTTAAACCAAACCAAATCAGTTTTTCATTGCAACTTGTTTAAATGAATATTATTTATGATTCTCTTATCAATTATGTTAATGCTTATCTTAATTTAATAAGTTAAAGATTAAAACTTTTAAGCACGTAAAATTTTAATGTTATTGTTATTAAAACTTTTAAACATGATGTAAAAGATTAATGGTATCTTAATTCAATAAGACAACCAACTTTTCCACATGTCTACTTTAGTTTCTAACAAAATTTCTTACTCTTAACTATAGTTTTTTAGTTTCACTTATATGAAAAAATGTGAGTTGAACTGATTGTTTATGGTAGCATAGATTATATAATAATTAATTAATTTTGATCATTGTACTATAACTATTATGAAGTAATTAATTTATATTATCTCTATAAAAATATATTAGAGACTTGTCTTTTTAAGTTTTTATAGTTCCAAATACATATTAATTTTGAATAATATTAATTTGATTTTTTTTATAATCTTTTTTCTTATTATTTGAAGAGTAAATTAATGTTATGGTTTTTATGGTAGTATGGTTAGTATTTTTCAGGAGTTTAATTCAAGTTGTAAAAAATCGATATTAATGGTCCTTATGGTTTCAAAATCATTAAAATTAATCCTTTTTCTAGTTACAATAACCACCTCCGTTAAATGCATGTAAATTGGCAAATGAAGTTATATAATCCTTTTTAAAATTTTCAACTTCCTACCAAATGTACTTTTTTTTATTCTAAATCTTGTATTATATATAAAATCTTATTGTAACTTTTCTAACTTTCAATAAAAAGTATAAAATTTGGTATTTTAAATATTATGTTGAATTTAAACAGAATGGAAATGATAAATAAAGTAAAAAAGAGTCAAGGAGCGGATCACTTTCTGGAGGACAGAACAAAAGGCAACACCAACATCAAGAAATGTATCCATAAGGTTGTTGATGAGTATTTTACAGCACTAGTGAAAGTGTTATGCTCATTGGGTGTTGTTTCATACGACAGTGGTACCATCAAAGCTTTAAAGGCTAAGCATCCATAGAAGCCATCCCCATCCATGTCGAGCACCATTTATTATGGGCCTCTGCTTATAGTAGAAATTAACAATGTCTTTGGCTGCATTAAATCGTTTCCTAAAGGAACTTCGTGTGAGAGAGACGACTTGAAAGCTCAACACATTTTGGATGCTTTTATGTGGGGAGGGGTCTGTTATAGCCACATATCTCTTACGTGTCATCACTGCAGTGGTTAATATGTGTCTAGGGGGAAGATATTCGTCATATTTGTCAGAATTTGTAGTGGCTGCACCTCTTACTCAGTTCCTTAAACTTGACATTGGAATTTGTCCTACTGTTATAGGCACTATATGGAGGCGTTTGGTTTTGAATGTTGCTATGAAAAGCGTTAGTAAAGAAATGACACAATACCTTAATGATTTTCAATTTGGAGTACGTGTGTCGAGTGGTGTTGAGGCCATTCTTCATAATGTCAATAGGGTGTTGAGTGAACGTCGTGATGATGAGTCTTTTGCAATGCTTATTGTGGATTTCTTGAATACCTTCAATCTGGTTGATAGATTTGCCTTACTTCATGAGGTTAGGATGAGGTGCCCTTCCATTTCTTTGTGGGTTGACTTCTTATATGGACAGGCAGTAAGGTTGTATTTGGGAGATAAGCATATTTCGTCTACTATTGGAGTTCATCAACGCGACCCTTTGGGACCACTTCTTTTTGCTCTTGTATTGTACCCACTTGTACATCGAATTAGAGACAATTACAAGCATCTGCTTCTTCATGCTTGAACTAAATATCAAGAAAACTGGGCTATTTTGGCCTTCATGTGATGGTAGGAAGCTTCGTGTGGTTTTATTCCCTGTTTACATTGGATGGCCGTTATTAGGGGTGAAGCTTATTGGGGGTGTTGTTAATAGAGATGCGAGTTTTATTAGCAGGTTAGCCATGGAGAGGGTTGCCAAGGCTGTTGATTTGATGTGTCTTCTTCCACAGTTACATGACCCTAGATAGGGATGAACAGCAGAAGCGGGTACCTGCTTTCGGAACCGGAACCGCCTCGGAACTGCCGGTTCTGGAACTGGAACTGCCTTAAGCGTCTCCGGTTCCGGTTCTTAAAGTTGCGGAACCGCCTAAGGCGGTTCCGGTTCCAATTCTCATTTTTACAAAACCGATACCCGCTGGATACCCGCCGGTTCCGGTTCCAATACCGGGTACCCGGAACCGGCGGTTAACCGGAACCGGAACCGACGGGTACCCGCCTATTCTAAAAAATATATATATTTAATTTTTATATTTTTGTGATTTTGTTTTTAAAAAATAGAAAAAAGAACTTATACCTGATTACACCTTACTCGTTTTTAGGGTTTTAGTGATTCATTCTTACCAAAAAAACGCCGACACCCCACACTACACTCTCTTCTTCTCGTTGTCACTCTCGTCAATGTCGTAGGCTCAATCGCAACTACTTTCTTAGTCAATCGGCTCAATCGAAGCTTCATCTGTGTTCACGATATGAATTTTTATGTTGTTTTCGTTTTATGTAACATAATCTGTTGATAGTTTTGATTAATTACATTTTTCGATCTGTGATTATGGTTGTCGTGAAGAAGAAAGCAGCGCCGGCTCCGAAGAAAGCCCGGCAACACCCTACACCGCACTCATTTGTTCTTCAACACCGTTGGCGGGAAACTCCTCTGTTCTTTGAGTCTCGTGTTCGAATTCTTATTTGTCTAACAAGGTATGTAGAAGCTTTCACCGGATACTCACTTTTTCCTCTTATATGTCGTCGTAGTATGTGTGTGAATTTTCATTTGTGTTTGTGATTGATATTCAGATATTGTGTTTTGTTGCAGTGGAAGAGATAATGCACTGGCGTTTTGATTGTACCAACAGGAGTTGGTGCTTCGATTGGAGGTTACACCGGTGATGCTTTACCTGTTGCTCGGACCCTAGCTTCAGTAGCCGACTGCGTCATTTCTCATCCCAATGTTGTCTGCTTCTCTGTATTTCCTTTTCAAAACGTGATAATGTTGTGGTGTGATGATTCTATTCAAAGCAGCTAGAATTTAAGTTATCCCTTCCCTCCAAAACCTAGATTTTCTGTAATAATTGAAAATTCACAGGTTCATAATGCAGCAATGCTCTACTGGCCAATGCCAAATGTCATGTACGTAGAAGGTTATGCCCTAGATTGATTTGAGTTAATACACACGCCATTACATAATATATGGTTACATTGTCATGATTTTGTTCGTGTAATCAGGTGGGATTGGTTCTTGATGCAGGAATTGAGGAACAGCTACACATTCTTTATCTCCAAGTAGCTGATGCAACAAGAGCAACACTTGGGTTACCAGTTCTTGAGTATACGAATCAAGTTTCCATGGATATCTTGCTTTTAAGAACTTGCAGGTGGAAAAGTGGATCAATCCAAAGAACGGACGGGCAACAGGGAGGATAAAACATCCTGATTCCCTATTAAGAGTTGTAGAAACATTGTGTGATTCATCTATAAATGTTGCTGTTGTGGCTTGTTTTCCAGATGATGACATGGAATATGTAGATGGTGTTCTTGCATTTGTATCGTGGGAAGTGATGTTGACAGTGTCATTCTTGTTTCAATTATTGCATCCGTTACTGTTGAGGACTCTGCTTCTTTCCCTGAAGAAGCCATTGCCACCCCTCCTGTTATATGATTTTGATTTATTTTGGCAATCATCTTTTTATGATTGCAGCAAAGTTGATTCGAGTTGGGTATGTGACTGGTTTTCTGATTGCAAAGTTCGATGATGTTGCTATTGTTGTTTTGCGATTTTGTGCTATTTTGCTATTTTTTTTGTTGTTTTGTGACTGTTTATGTTTTGTAGTTTGTTGTGGACTTTTTAAATTCCATTTTTTGTTGTTTTGAGATCAAGTTTTTTTAATTGTTTTACTTTACATCTTGAATTCCTATTACTTATAAAAGTTAATTTCAATGGCATGTATAAAATAAAATAAAAAATTAATATTCAAAAAATCGGGTACCCGGAACCGGAACCGGTCTCGGCGGTTCTGGGAGCGGTTCCAAATTTCTAGGAACCGGTGTAAGCGGTTCCGGTTCCAATACCAATAATTTCGGAACCGCCGGTTCCGGGAGCGGTTCCGGTTCCAGCTAAAATAGGCGGGTACCCGGTTATGCTCATCCCTAACCCTAGAGTGAGTTTAACACCTATTTCAGGTAAATGGTTCATTATGTTTTGGTAAATTAAAGAGTTAAAATGTGGATTTTATGATGGTCATAACGTGGTGAAGGATATGTCATGACGTGGCCATGGCGGTAAAAACGTGTATCATTCCTTGTATGCCACGACGTGAAAAGATTATGGTCACGATGTGGCAGCCACCT